TAACATATAACGTTATTCTAATACTCGTTAATTAGAATCAAATTAATAACATTTTAGATTTGCATTGTTATAACTTATTATAGTATATAATATATTGCATTATTATTATATAAAATTATCTGTGCTCTTGTTACAGTACATATTACAAAGTACATTTAAGTAATATATTATTGAAAATCAAACCGTCTGTCATAACGAATGGCAAAAGATGTATGATGATCGCACGCGCATAAATTCGAAAAAAAGGACCTCGGTAAACTCTAAAATGCATGTCGACTGCCGTCGCATCAAGCTCCGTGAGAAAGCATGTGCAAGGAATACAAAAGGGGGGGCCCCCGTACACAGAAGGGGTGGCGGGATAATATTGGCAACGTAGCGTCCGTATATGGCTAACGTACTATTATATATACTGCGAGCTCTATCGCACGCATTATGTGTGACGCTGATTAGCGACATATATTCTCCAGCACCGTTTAGGATTATCTCACGCGTCCTTGTGGACCATCTAAGTATGATAAGTACGTATTTTAAGCTTATTTAAGCTAACATCAACGTGTGCCAGAATCCCCAACCGGAATAATCAACGAACAATCGAGATAAATATCTCCCCCTTTTTCCTCTTGTATAGGGTGTCACATAATTCACGACGTTAATTTTGTATTGACAGACTCTCTGCGGAGCATAAGATCGATTTTTCATTTTAAACGTGGAAATCACGTCAATTTTTAAATTTTGAAAATGGTGGATTCCTATTTTAACGATTTTATTATTTATCTCTTTCAATGTTTTTTTTTGCGACCAATAGTATTACAAGCAATGGAAAGTGTAAAAGTTAAACTTATGAAATGAAAAATTAATTACACTTTCAATTTCTAAGACAATCTGATCAAAACAGAGAATAAGAAAAGATTTGATTAAGTCTGAAAATATTACAGATATATTAAAATTATAAATATTTAAATTATTATCCTTGAGTCTGCGAAAACTTTCCGTAAAAATAGAACATGTATTAAAATAATGAAAATAATAAGATGAAAATCAAATGAAAGAATTATAACCAATTATGATAAAATTTTTATACAAAAATTTAACTTTAGTAACTTAATCGATCAAATAACGTATCTCTATTATCGTCGCCGAGTCCCAGTCGTGCTTCCGATTTATCCGATATTCGCTGCGCTTCCATCGAATGCCGGCGCAATGGTATTAACTAATATATATGAGAGGCCGAGAATTGTACAGTCGTTTAATTTGCACGCAGCTTCTGCGCTGCGCTGTGCTGCGTTGCGCTTTTGCGCGCGCGGCTGATCAGAAATTGAGTGGGAATTCAGAGACGAGATTAGTTCGACGAATCACATTCGAAACGGATTACTATGCAACTCACGCAATCTAACCGCGATACTCGCTTTGAACCTTAAAGGACACTCAAATCGATCGATATTATTAATAAAATCCATGAATAATTTTTACGACTTCTCATTCGCGTCTTTCAGATAAGCTTCTCGCGTCTGTAGAATAATAAACTTTTTGCGAATCAAATAGTAGGCACTCTACATTTCTATTTTTATTTTTATATTTTATCTCTTCTTGCAAATTTTTCATAACGATAAACATAAGTACTATTTTATACTTTTTATAATAAAAGAATAAGATTAGTTATTATTTACGTATGTTACCGATATTTTTACTATCTACTGCTACGTTAAGGAGAGTTTTTAAAATTTTGTAATAATAAAATGTTATATTTTTTTATTTTTTCACAGAGTTATACCAGTAATATAAAAAAAATTAAAAAAACATAAAACTGATTTGACTTTACGTCAAATGGAATCGATAACTTACACAAATAACAAATTTCGAACTTCTGTTATCAAAAATATCAAATAGTGCTTATCGTTACTAAAAAAATATTTTTATAAAAACCAGAGATAACAATTGAAATTATAATATTATATAATAAAAGTCATATAAGTTCATCATTTAAATCATGAAATACATTTTGTCTCTCTCCTTAAAGTATAAATATTTAAGGGGAAAAAGTTTAAAATTATTTAAAATATTTCAGGAGAAAAAAGTTTAAAATCAGCAAGAATAGATATCTTCGAAATATCTACATTCTCTAGAACGTTTCAGACATATTTTGCTCGTTATACCGTCACTAACGTATCAATATCCATTATGCGAATAGCGGCCATCGCGGAAATCTGATCGCTATCATCATATATTTACATAGAAGACTTGAATTTAGTTTAGTGGGATTCCGTAATGAGATTACGTTCGATAATATGTTACGAGTATCGAAAATACATTATGATAGATTTCATATTAATAAACCATAGAGATATGATGAGGATTAAGAATAAATCCCTCTCTTGTCTCTTACTTATTATTCAACGATATGAATAATGCGTGAGAACCGACCGATAATTCGTGCGTAATGTCGCGCTGAAGGCGTGTATGTGTATCTTGGTGCGTATATGTATCTTGGTATACATTAATAGTTGGAAAGAAACCGCGACAGGTCGTTGCACCATATGCGAATTCTTTGCCCCTTTCAACGGCAATGAATGCGATTATATTTTGCGTCGCGACACGCAAAGAATCGTAGCATCTCGGCTTCTTTCACGTCCTATACGTATTTAAGGACAGAGCCTTTCCTACGGAGCGCCGCATGGGTTCTCTTTCATTATTTTTTAACCGAAAATAAGATGAAAAAGGACGGCGGAACGCGCACCCTGCATCCCACCTTCCGGGAGTGTCGGAATTCTCGGCGAGAACGGAAGAAGCTCGGGCGAGACGATCTTTCCACGTTGAAACTTGGCCGGCTTGCGGCACCGAAAGGATGAGGCTAATTCACGCTGACGAGATCTGACAAAGATATAATGCTGCTGTAGCCGCTTGATAACCCGTGGATTTTTAATGCTCAATTTTGAGGGCGCGCGCAAGTTTATTTCCGACGGTATATGTATTAGCGGTTCTCTCGCGAAATGATTCCTATTACTCGCTCTATTAATGTTTGCATAAAACAGTTATTATTCTCTACAAAATATGAGCCTCGTGCAAAATATAGAAAATAGCTCATTACGCGCGCGCGAAAGACATAATTGAAACGATCTATCAAGTAATAATCTAATAATTATTATTTGATAGATTAAATTAACGATTTATCAAATTACAAAAAATAATTTATAAGCATATTATTTATAAGCCTTATATTGGTACAAGTTTTGCAAAAAGTAGCTCTTTAAAACTTTAAATCAATAATTTTATTGGTGCTATTCTTTTCATGAGTAAAGTTTTAATAGTAAGAAATTTCTCTCAGGAGAAACAAATGAATAATTGCATATAATATTAAAATAATATTTCTAAACTGTTTCAGTGCTAAGAAGCGTCATCACTTTATATTAAAATTGCAACAAGCACTTGTTTTTTTTATCTCATTACCCGACATTGTTATTAAATATTTCAAGATAATTCAATTTATTAATTTCCGTTAGATTGCGATAAATAGCAGACGTGTTGCAATTTTTCGTATAAATTTTTATGATCCTGACAGAATCGATTAATAATAATGCAATAAATAAATAAAGTTTAACGAAAAATTTAATAGTAAAATAGAAGATAATAATATTTTGTAAGGGTAACATTTTGTACATGTAACATGTCACTTTTATTGCTTTCAATTGATGAATACTTGAAATATTCAACCACTACGCAAGTTCAGAAACAAACGTGCCAAATGCAAAATATCACGGATTTTAATCGTGGAAAATGTCACTCGCTAGACCTGCTACAAAACAAGAGTGATAAAGAGCTGAAATATTCAGGAAAACGCTCAGAATATTTGTTCGTTTCAATCGTACTCTTTCTCTACATTTTTCGTAGACTCTTTTCTTCTTTCTTCCTTCAAAACCCTTTCCGTTTTCATCCTGTCAAATATACAAAGGTGTTCCGGATCAACCGCGATATAAAAGATATATTTCTTTTCAATTGCGGATTCCTCGAGCCATTGTCGAGCCGATCTTTTCCCCTCACGAAAATGTCGTGGACGAGTTATTTTCCGAGTTATAAGAGAAAATGAAAAAGGCCTCTCGTAAAGAACGCATTTTCTCGTTGCAAAAAAAGTGTGTAATCAAACTGTGTATTTTACAAACACTTTTATAACGCTATTGAATGAATTACAATTAAAACAAACCTTTCTTTCGTTATTTTATTTCAATATTCGTTTATTATCTTCATTCACTTTGTTACTAAGACAAGAAAATTAAATAATTGTAGACAAAATAACATTGTAACAATATTGAAACAACAATTAATTGCAGAGACTGGGATAATGAAAAGTAAAACAATCATTGAAACACTGACGTTATATCGAATTTGCAATACCCATAAAAATCGACTCGCAATCGTAATTGTGGAAAAGAAGCGACCGTCAATTTTTGGATTTTTATATATCTCTGTTGCAGAACGTTACTGATGGATACGTGTCGAAAGTGTATCAAGCATAACAAAACCAATCGTCAAAAAGCAACTATCGCATAGCAAAAAAAACGGATGTGTCAGCAATACAGAAAGTTATTTTATTTTTAACCTATATACACCTATATTTAAAATGTTTTTTCTAAAATGGCCGAAGAGAAGAATTCGAAAGAGGGGAGCCGGTTTTTTTTAGACTGGGCGTCCAACCGGTTGGAGAGTCCACAATTGAGAGAAAGTGCTGCTCCGGGGAAACTATACGTGTACCTGATTCAATCACTGATACAAATAAAAAAAGAAAGGTTAAGAGGAGCTCGAGGCACAGAGAGGCTTGTCTTATTAATTTTTTCATTTACGTGATGGAATGCGCGATTGAAACCGCGGGCAAAATGTCTTCGAATGTGCGGAAACGCGCGTACGCGTATACCTCCTCAGCGCAGGTTCGCGGGAGTCGCGCGGCCGGGATTTCAAGATAAAACTTCATACACGCACAGACGTGGAGGAATTAAGTATTGCTAACTCACCGGTGCGAATCACCGCGTCACCGCCAGGCACAATCCGCGTCGCAGGATCGTTCACAATCGACTCGAGTCGCACTTGGGACGTAACGCGCGCCCGACGTTCACGAAACGTTCACCGCGTGGCCACGAGCCCAAAAGAGGGATGCGCGTTCGTTCGCATCTAAAATGCAACTTAAACCGTAGCCCGCGCTTTACCACCGGCGCGCCGGCGACGGAACGGATCCACACGGAGCGCCGGGTGGGAATGGAGGGAGAGAAGGGGCGTCGCGTCCTTCCCCACTCGGCGCCAGACGGAGCTAGCGCACTATCGGCCACGAGTACGAGCGAATTTTGGATCTCTACATTACCGGCGAGACTGAGGGTAATATACCATCAGCGTCGACGAGTTGTTGAAGCATCATCATCGTCTAGCTATCGAGGATAAATTCTCGAATATATGCTGCAGCGGAGATATATACATATATTATAATAACTGCAATTGTCGATAAGTAAGTTTACATCACTGAATCGATGAACTGATCACAACTAATCAAGAGAGAAAGAGAGAGAGAGAGAGAGAGAGAGAGAGAGAGAGAGAAAATTTCCTTCCCGTAGAACATTATTTTACTTGATTGTAAATATTTTCAAATCACTGTGTCATAATTCGATATCGTTAAATTTGAAAATATATTACAAAATATAAAGCTATGTATGGAGCAATTTTTAATTTAGTAAAACGCTTATTTCCTCGAAAAGACAAATTCATAGTATACATACTCGCGTGATTATTTAATGTGGACATTTTTAGAGATTCGGAGAATTTATTTGGTTTACATTATTAATTTAATTTGTTCAAATATTTAAATAAATAATAAGTGTAAAAGTATTTAAATGAGTAACAAGTGAAATATATAATTTAAACGTATAATATATTTAAATAAATAATTAATAGTAACATAGTATTTCAAATATTTAAAATATTCGAGATGCAATGTAGATAAAAAACAGAAAAAGATTTAAAAAATGTATACATGTCATTCTTGATTTTTATAATGTCATATCGGCATTTTTGTGTATCACAGTATTGATAGCTATGAAGTCAATACTTTTTAATTCTTTGTTTTTTACATCTATTTTCAACAGTCTTTTTTCTATTGTTTTTCATTCTAAAATGTCCAAATAAACCTATTTCGTTTTAAGAAGTATAACTTGTAACGTAGCTAAAGAAAGCAAATTGAGAAACTAAATTGAGAGGAGTATCGGTAAATAACGTCATCTTTTCTTTTATATGAAAACCGTCTCTGCGCTTTACCAGGCAAAGAAAGTAAATTGCGCAGAAAAAAAACAAATAAACCGACGTTTCCTTTTTCTTTCGAAATACAATCCAAGACATTATTAATTGTCATCCGGTACGCTTACAGCGCAGCGATCAAATTTCTTCGCAATATTTTAGAAACCTATATCCTCTGCGCTGTTATTGATTTAGCTTAACTACTTTATTTTCTTAAAAGATAGGAAAGTAGCGAAACGTGTCATGAAGTCTTTTGAAATTGCAGCTCCGGGTGGCGTTAAAATTATACATCTTTGGGATTAAAAATTTTATGGCTTAAAATAATATATCACTCTTTCTTTTTGTATATCGAGTTCAAAACATTTCAATAATTAAATCAATCTATTAACAAGAATTATATCAGTGATGATAGCAAAAAAAAAATTATAATCCTAACAAAAAAATTCAATAATCATTATGAGAGGTAGAACTTGAAAATTATTAAAATATCCATTTTTTTATTTTTCAATAAACATTAAAAAGTTTTTTTTTAGAAATAAATGACGTAATTATTTGGTTTTAAAAAATTTATTTAAATAATTTTATTAGAATTTTATAAATAATTCAAGTTTACTAAAACATTGATTTTTTTTAAACCATAATTAGAATTTAGAAAATATTTTTATACTTTAGAAAAAAAAGTATTAATCAAAATATAAAATATAAAAAAGTGTTAATCAAAATATAAGTAAAATATAAAGAGTAATCAAAATATGAAAATATCTATTATATGAAAGAAAAAAGATAATTCGAATTGAACAAAAACAAGAAGATAGTACAGTTTTGATTTAAAATTTCGCAACTGCATCTTTTTTCAAATGCTTTGTTGTCATATGAAACCAATGAGATACTGTTAAAGACCGTCTGCAGCCCTGGGTAAATTTTCGTGCCGGCCAAAGGGCCCGGAGATAATTGCAGAGTATCGATGTTATCGACTTTTGACATAAATTTACGATTTATTTAAATAAATGCATTATTAAAATCATGATTTTTATTACATAAATGCTATAAGTAAGTATGAATACTTATAATGCTATAATATAATATATATTGCCACAAAATTTTTCTTCAAATTGTTTTATCATCTCTCTGGATAATCAAACACGGATGGTAATTATAAAAATGCAGTTTTAAATAAATTAATTATAACTATTAGGAAGATATAATACAGATGAATTACAATGTATGTATGTACATGTCTAAAAAACATTAATCTAATAATAAATTATAAAATTAATATCATACTATTGACTAATTGCTTAAATTTTAGCAATTACTCAACAGCCATGCTAACTCCCGTAAGGGTGTTGGTCTTTAATATATAGTATCTCGTCGGTGCATGTGATTATTTCTTGAGATTCGAATTGTGCGCCACAATGGCGGCCAATGCAAATGACAGCGAATTGCGCGAGTTCAGCATTGAAGTCGCGACTACAGCGCCATCGCGCACTCGATAGAACGCCGCTCGTGGCACACTCTCTGACTCCACTCTCCTCGGCAAGGGGCAGGGCGGGGTGTAACTGACGTCACGCTCGGCAATGTCCGCTGGCGCTCGACTCGCTGGCCCGATCTCGCCCGAACAGGTCAATGTCTGAGGAGGAGGCATCGAAAAATCCAATGGTCGGTGTGGTGTTGCCGTGCTGCTGCTCGACGACGACGACGAGACAGAGAGGTCGTCGCTGATCGCCGTGTATTGTTCGACATTACCGCCGTGCGGCCCACGGCACGCGCGCCTCTTTTCTTTCCGTGTTCGACACCACCAACCGCGTCCATCGCGTCGTCGCGACATACCGTGGAAGCTGCTGCGAGAACTGCCCTGCGTCGGCCTGTCCGGTGCCCGCGACCAGCGATAGTGTGAAAGAGATAGGGAGAGAAGGAGAAGGACAGTGCCGATGGAACACGGGCGTTGAACGCGAGGACGACGACGACGACGACGACGACAGGAACGGCGGCGACGGCGACGACGATCTCCTGTCGAGAAGAGCGCAGTGGGCCGCGATCGTTCCTCTCGTTCTCCCGTATAATTTCGTGCTACCCGACTCGCATCGCGGCGAAATGCAGCAGTACGGAAGTCTGTCAGACATCGGCGATGAGGAGTAGAGAGTAACGCGAGAATTGGAGTGACCAGCTAGTGAACGAGACTCCATAACGAGAGGGAGAGAGAGAGAGAGAGAGACACAGATATAGAAAGACGGTGTGTGAAGGAAGAAAAGGATAGTGCGAGACGACAGAAGGAGAGAAAGCGAGAGAGAGAGAGGGAACGAGGCGCGACGGCGCGAGTGAAAGAGAGAGAGAGAGAGGAGAGAACTTCGGAGTAGCGAGAGAGAAGCGAGGATAGCCGCGAGCACGAGAAGGCAGACGGAGGGAGATCAACGGGCGACGACGTTGGCCGTGGAAGTATAAGGATTCACGCCGCGCGTCGTCGGCCCAGCGCCGGAGCACCCGCGCGGTGGCGCGCCACCGCTACGTAATACGTCGGCGAGCCGCGACGACAACGGTGAGACGACCGGAGGCGCGGGACGACCGCGAGGAAGCGGCCGCGTTATATAGGAGCCGTGCCGTACAAGCCGTCCCGAAAACGTCGGTCCGCCGCGAGGTCCGCCGCGCCGCTGCCGCCGCCGCCACCGCCACGACGTTAGCACGCACCCCTCGTCGCTCGCCAGCAGCGCTCCGCAGCATCGCCCCTCCCCCGCCGCTGTTCATTGGCTGACGGTACCGCGCTTTGGAACCGCTCGCGGCCGCTGCCGCATCGCCGTGACAGCAGCGCGAGGAGGAAAGCTAGGCCGAATCGTCGCCGAGAGAGTGCGCGTCAGTGTGGTCGAAAAAGAGGGTGGTGTCGCGTACGACGACGACGACGAGTGCACGAGAGTGGCCTCCTCTTCCTCCTCCGTGGAGAAGGTGTGCTCGCGCGAACGAACGCAGTGCCGATCAACCGGGGATCAGCTCGTCGCGCGTCGGTGGTGTCGCTGCGCGCGTATCGCGAACACGCAGCGAGATTAAGATCATCCGTGAGAAGTGGTGTCATTCCGCGCGCGGTTTCGCGCTCCTCGCTCGTCGCCATCTCTTCCCCGCCCCCCCTCTCCTCCTCGTCCTACACGTTCTTCCCGTTCCTGGCGGGTCCTTTCCCATCTCCCGCGTCTGTCGATCGAGCGTCGCGTAGCGTAGAAAAAAAAAAAGAATAGAAAAACGGTGTGGAGAAAGGTCGACAGAGAGGATATAAGAAGAAAGAAGAAGAAAGAGTGAGAGGGAAGAAAGAGAAACGGCGCGCGTGAGCGCGCGGTCCCCGTGCGATGTGATAATCGCGTGTGCGACTGTCATTGATGTGCCAGGTGGTGTTGACGACGAGGAAAACGACGTCGACGGCGACTACCGGGGTTGACTTCAAGCGGTGGCGGAGGAGGAGGAGGAGAGTCGCCGGAGAGGCACCGGCCAACCTAACCTAGTAGACGCGGCAGGAGCAGCGGACGAGAAGGAGCGGGCGGAGACGCAGCCCCTTTCGAGTCGTGGTGCAGGTGCGGAGGCGGAGGTGGAGGCGGTCGAGAAAGCTTCAGGATGAGCGGACGACCGAGAACCACCTCCTTCGCCGAGGGTAACAAGCCGCCCGCGAATCCGCCCCTCGGCGGTATGAAGATCAGCAGTAAGTAACCATAACCTCATTGTTCGCGTTACAATTTCTCCCCTTTTTTTTCTACTCCAAATCTTGCATGGCTTTCGACGTGAGTGCCTTCTTTCAAGCTGCGTTCGCCCTCGCTTTCATCCAATTTAACTGTACGCACATGCCTGTCGCTCGAATGTGATAAATTATGCAACTGAAAGGAATAGACGAGCTGCTCCTTCGACCGCTGGACTCTCGTCCCTTTTTCATTAATT